CCACTCCACAGGCTGTTTGAGTGTCCTCAAGACATGTCAACTGAAGATAAACAAGCAGCCATCTAGCAGAGAAACAAAGCCCACATGGAAGAAGCACACCAGTCTGTGTGATCATGAGGTGTCTATAGGATCAGGTATCAGGCATCAACAAAAAAATCATATCATTGTGAATGAGTGGGGAGTACAGAGTGGAGACCCAAAGCCCATCTGTAGGCAACTGTACATCCCCTTACAGAAGGGTCACAGGGAGGAGACAAGCCAGTCAGGGCGCAATACAGCACTGATGAAACACAACTTTCCTCTAGTTCTTTAATGCTTCCTCCCCACCCCCCACCCGACTATCATGATCCCAGTTCTACTTAACAAATCTGGCTAGACCAGAGAATGTACACAAGTACGGATAGGAATTGGAAACACAGGGAATCCAGGACAAATAAACCCCTCAGGACCAATAATGAGAGTAGGGATACCATGAGGGTAGGTGGAGGGTGGGGGAAGAAGGGGGAACTGATCACAATGATCTACATATAACCCCCTCCCTGGGAGATGGACAACAGAAAAGTGGGTGAAGGGAAACATCAGACAGTGTAAGACATAAAATAATAATAATAATTTCTAAATTATCAAGGGTTTGTGAGGGAGGGGGGGGAAATGAGGAGCTGATACCAAGGGTTCAAGTAGAAAGCAAATATTTTGAGAATGATGATGGCAACAAATGTACAAATGTGCTTGACACTATGGATGGAGGCATGAACATGTCAACAGACCTCCCTGAGAACAATCTATACAAGCACAAGGCCAAACAACAATGCCTTACATTCCCTGGCTACAGTGGGACAGGCATGCCTGCTATATTGCATGACAAGTACTAGGTCCAGCCCATGTTCAAGGGAAAAGGAATTGGGAATTACCTTTTGAAGGCAAGGGCATCAAATAATTTGGGGGCATATTTTTAAACTCCCTCAGCTGCTATAAAAATATTTCTCTATTGTCTTCTCTTAGGGTATCTTATAAAAAAGGCTTTTGATTTTCCCCCCTTCCTTCTTCTTCCACTTAAAACTGGCAGATCTGGAGTCCACCTAATGGATTGCATTTTTCTTTTATAAAACATGGGGGCACATCTATTCACCCAGTAGCTTCCCAGCTTCTTTCCTCTTATGAAACAGATGAGTCATTTCTCCTCAGTGCAGACAGGAAGTGTTGGTTATTCTTAAAACGGCAGCCTCGCCGGAGCTCGCGTCTTTGAGAGAGGCTCGTGCAAGTCCATTAGGAGCGCTGAGGGAGGGAGGCGATCTTCAGGGCCGTTGACAGTAAACCTTATACAATGAATTCTTCCAGGAGGGAAGTGTGGCAGCTAAGGACAGAGGGAGTCACAAAAAGTTTCTGGGAACGCCAGATCCTACTGGGCTGTTGGCATTAATCAAAGATAGACTTGCATGAGGCGAGGAAAATTTGATTCACCAGAAATCCCCCTCAGTGAGACCGCTGTTCTGCTAAACTGCATGGAGTGGTACCTGCGTGAGCCGCAAAAGCAGGCTGACTGTGCTTGAGATTACCAAGAGAAGTCTGCTTTACGGCAGGTGGGCAGAGGTAGGTGACTAGGAAGCTGTCGAGGGCTCTGTCCATGTCATGAAGATTTAATAGTTTACCAAGAAAGAAAAAGGGGCACTGGTGGGGGAGTGGTGACAAATCGGGCTGCAATCAGTAAGTCTGCAGTTGGAAACCACAAACGGTTCCTTGGGAGAAAAATGGGGCTTACTCCTCCTGTTAAGTTAAGTCTCAGAAACTCACCGGGGCAGTGCTACTCTAAGGTACTGACGAGTTGGCATCGAGTGGATGGCTGTGAAAAGTGACCAAGAAAGAAAAAAAATGCAAGGGGCACCTGGATTTCTTCTGCAGAATGCTCAAGGGGCCAACTCTGGGGGGAGAATGTCACATTCACTAAAAACACACAATTCCCAAGACCGGAGGGAGCCATGCAAATGACTCAGGAATCATGGGGCACTTTGGAATTTCCCAAGCCTATGCTTTCTTGATATTTAAATCAATTTCCCCCTGGCTTTTTAAGGTGAAGCGAGACCCCTGGATTACAGAGCAGACAGCCAACGTGTTTGGGGCTGCCAGGGCTCGGCATACTCAAATACTAACCTATGCCAATCGCTCTGAATCTGGCAGGTGGGCAATGACCCAAACCAAGGCAAGGCAAACTGAGAGTGTCACCGGTAGCCAAGGCACACAGGGGAAGGACATAACCAGGTTGCCATCTTGGGGGGGACATTCCTGGCAGCTGGATAAAAGACCAGGGCTGGTTTTTCTAGGGAGAGTCAAAGCTGTCCAGAGGCCCATCCCTGCAGCAACTCTGGAAGGCAGTCGGACACTGTTCAGTGAGTTCCTCTCACTCCTGAACATGTGAACGCCCATCAACCTTCAAACCTACTCTCATACCTTCCTTCTGAAGAAAGCTGCTCCGCTAGCACGACACTTTGCTCCAGATTCAATTTCTTCTGCTCTCATTCATAGCAACATTGCTGAAGTTTATGTTTGCACACCCTGATCCTGACCCCATGTGCCCGGGCTTCCTTCCCCAACATCTGATTGGAATTGTTCTCGTCAAGTTTTACCCACATCATGCCATGCTGTCAGAGCCAACGGTCACTGGCTCTTCACTGGCTAGATCTCTCCGCAGATTCTAGTCCACAGGTGATTCCTCCTGCTTCGTTCCAAGTCTCCGCTCTCGTGTCGCTCACAGTTGCTTTCTCCCCCCTTCACCGGCCCTTCCTCAGTCTCCCTCACTGGGTCCTTTGTCTAGAATCCAAATGTTCTAGGATTCATCTGAGGACCCCTTTCTAATTCTCTTCCAGACACCTGGATTTCTATACGAAAATGCCGCTGCCTTCCAAATTTCTGACTTTCCATATCTACTTACCATGTCCACTTAGCTATTTAATGGAAATTTTAGATGTTAAGATGCACGAACCTGTTCTAGTGATTTCTTCACCCCCCTGTCCACCTCTGTAAATGGTATCACCCTGGGAATTCCAGCCCAAAGGCTCCACGTCTTTTGTACTTCTGTCCTTTCCGTCTCATGCCCCATCAAACCCACCACCATGTTGGACTTTATCTTACCTTTAGGATGTTTGAGATCGTGAGCTTTTTCCCATCTCTACCATTACCACAGACCAGGCTGCCACGAGTCTATAAAAACTACACATCGGCCTTCAACTTCCTATCTCTGCCTGTGTCCCCAGACACCCAATCATCTTAAGATGTACCGCATACCACCTCCTCTTATACCCCTTTACTGACTTCCAAAAACACTTAGAAAAAATTCCATCTCCGCAAATGGCCTGCCAGGCCTCCCCCGACTGTCCCTATCTGCTTTCGGATGTGTTCTCTGGCTTTTGCCCTGTTCAGCATGTGCCAGCTATACCCCACCTTAAACAGGTCAGGTCTGGTCCCCACCTCAGGCTTCTGCAGAGGGCACACTTCCCTTCCATTCTTTGCATGGATAGCTCTTTTTTAAAGCTAAGGACATTTCTGTAGCAAAACTTTTCCTAACCATCCAATCTCAAGCAGTCTTTCCACGGGGACAATGCCTGTTTTAGGTTCATGGTTACACTGACAGCTACTTTTCTGTTTGTTCGGCATGTCCCCACGCCCACCTCCAACTTGAATGCTTGTGCCGTGAGATTAGCCTACATATACATTTGCTTCTCAAGGTGACCCTGTTCCCTGTTGTGGTAGATATATAATCATTTGTCAATTTGAGGATTAAGAATGTAGGGGTGGAGTCTAGCTTGTCAATCAGATCATAGCCAATGAGGCCTCTGTGTGGGCCGGGCCTTCTCCTGAGAATTCTGGGAAATCCAGTACTCCCTCCTTGGAGGCGGGAGACACTTCTCTCTGCTCACACCCTGGGAGACATAACAGCTGACAAGACACATGGACCCACCCTGATGCAGAGACCCCTGCCAGCGCTGAGATGTTTCCAATGACACTGGATCCAAAGACTTTCTACCCACTGGCCTGTGATCTTTTACATGCGGTGTCATTACATGTGTTTCATGAGTCTGAAGAGGACTTTATAGATTGGTATCAGACATATGGGCTAATATCGGACTTGATCTGGGCTGGGTGGGATGTCTTCTCAATGTTCAATTGCTCTTGTATGTAAATCTCTTTCTTATACACATATGTGTCCATGGATTTGTTTCTCTAGTCTACCCAGACTGACATACCTGTGCAATGCCTGGCACGGGGAGGAAAAGCCACCAGGCACTTCATTACACTTATCAGGTGTTTTGCATTTTGAGCTCAATCAATTCAGATCTCCGTAAACTGTGTAGTTCTAACAGCGTGAAAGGGACTTATTCATGAAGATAGAAAAGTCAATAGAGGCAGGACATAAAATCAAATGCTGTATGAGGAGGTGTTACTGATTTGGAGGAGTAAATATCTCCCTCCTGGCACAGTCTTGTGGAGATGAAAGTGTTGAAACAACTGGTGGCATATCTAAAAACAATAAAGTAGAATTATACGGCTTTGAGAAAATTCTGAGATCCAAATACATACTCTCTCCGCCTACCCTGTCTTCATTTTGCTCACCCTGGCTAATGCATTCATACTTTGGTTCTCATGAAATGTGCAAGGTAGAATAATCAGATACTCAAGAATACAAACTTTTCTGCAAATTTTATACTCTTAGTGTGTGGTACCAGACTCAAAGAGAAAGAGAAAAACAAAACAAAAACAATACCCACCTCCTGCCCCACCCCCTAACCCCTACATTATCTTCTGACTTCTGAAACTGAACACCAATATTTTTCTTGGGGGAAAGAAAGAAAAAAAAAAACCCAAAACGCACAGCCACAAAATGAACCCAGTTTGGATTTTAAACAAGGTTTGTCTCAAATGCAACTCCATCCCTGGCTGCTTAATGGTGCTAACGGGTGGCATTCTGCAGATGTAAGGAGAAAGAACGTTTCCCAGTGGACAGAAACCACGCTTGAGATCTTTTATTGAACAGGCAATGCATTGTGCAAAGGTCAAGGTCACAGACGTCTAGTGGAAAACACCTTTTAAGCGTTATTTTTGGGCGCCCTCTATGAGCGGATGGGCCCTGCCTCGTCCCCTCTCTTCTTCTTGAAGTGGCGATCTGCAGGAAAACTGTTCTTTGATAGCTGCGCTCGGAAACGGCACCCCTGCGTGACCATGAATGCTGTGCCCAGTGGCAAACATGGAGAGAAAACAGCATCCCTGTGCAAGGCAGCAACCGGAGACAATGGACTTATCTCCAGTGGAAACTCCACAGTACACACAGTACACACACAGGCCCCGGAATGGCTTCTCTTCCGGTCCTGCAGCCTCGGCCTAGTTTTTCATCCACCCTGCATTTCCATTTCCTGCCCTGTCTGAGTCCTCCTTCTCAAAGGAATGCTAAAGACCCCAAACCCAAACCAAACACCTGACAGGCATCCAAGGGGGCCCAAGAGCACACTCCCGGCCGCTGTTCTGTGTGAGGGCGCTTCCGGCCCAGGACCATGGCTGTGGGTTCGTCTTCCTCGTTCGCCTGGCTCCTTCCTCTCTCCCCTAACCTGATGATCAAATCAGTCTGAGGTTTCAGTTTGTCTGTCTTGATTTACTGGTGGTCTTTAAGTACGTGGCCCATGAAGGTAGCGGATGATTTGATCTGCAGCAAATCTATTTTATAATCTGGGGCATGTCGCTCCAGGCCTGTGATTTTTTCTTGGCCAGTTCCATCCAGGATGGCTGGTCGGCACTGGCATAACTGGCTCTCTTCAGCTGGGTCAGTTCTTTCTCCGTCATCCCTGGGGACTGAGCTGCTGGAGAGAAAACAAACAAGAGACGGGCCAAGTGAGTCCAGATTTTTTTTCCCTTTTCACTTAAGCCTCTTGTACTTCGTTAAAGTATCCCTCTAGGCGCTGGTCACGTTCTCAAACGTCAAGTTCACTAATTTGCGTACTAGACTTAGTAGAGAACATGTGATGGAGGTGACAAACAGGTTTAGGGACAGGCTCCCATAGTTCCGGCAGTGCCGTGAGGTGAGAGAAACTTCTGGAGGGAAAACTGCCAAGGAGGGAAAACTGCCAAGGACAATGCCAGACACTTAAGTTGAAGTACTAGGTAAGATGGTGTGTTTCATACCCAAATTCTGGTGGGACAACGAGATTCCTCTTTGCAGCCCCTCTTTGAGGCTGAGTTTCGCCCCGTGCTTCCGTTCCACAGCGGGTTTAGCGGGTGCAATTAGGAAGGATCGACTGCGGACAAAGTCGGCTTGCTTCGTGGATTCCTATTGGGACACAGGACACATACCACCCGGTCAGCGATTCCGAGAGCAGGCACACACGACCACACGGAACCAAGCACACCCACTCCCCACCCCCACCCCCCAGGTTGGTTTCTCTACGTCCTTCAGAGCGCTCTGGCTTGTCAACTCTGACCTCTGAGTAGCCCGAGCCCAGACCAGTGCTGTGTGCCTTATCTGGAACCCACGTGTGTGTCACGGCCTCTCTTTCCTGCCTTGGCCCCAGATGGCAGCGACTTCATTAGAGACCCCAAATTAATTTCACTTGATACTACTACTTTTTGAGACATTCATGGTCCTTGCTGGGACCCACTAAGGATGCCCCAAACGGGGCTCCCTGGTTACTCTCTCGGATAAAACCCCAACGCCTGCACGGGGCTTTCGCAGCACTGGTGCAACTTGAGGCTTCAATGACAAGCAAGGGACACGTCGGCCGCTGCCAACATGGAGTCTTGGTACCTCCTGCTCCCTGCCTCTTCAGGCCCGGCAGCTTCACATCAGATTACAACTGGACTCGGCGGAACTGCTTCTACAACCGTGCGGACCACTTTGATCTAAAATTCTTCCCTTTGTTTCTGTCGAGAATCCACGTGGCTAATCACCAAGGCCGCCAGTTCAGACCCACCAGCGGATGTGGGAGAAAGATGAGGTTCTCTGCTCCTGTGAGATGGACAGTCTTAGAACCCCAGAGGGGCAGCTCTGCTCTGTCCCGTAGCTAAGGCGACCAGATTGTAACACTGGTAAAGCGGGACACCATTGATAAAACTCATATCCTGGCGAAATAGCCACATGGCAGCCGAAAACCGTATACCCTAGCTTGTCGTGCATTCTTTCCAACAATCGGGACTTTTTCTAAATGCCACGGGACGAGGGAAAAATTGTTCAAAATCGGGACTGTCCCACCAAAAGTGGGCCATCTGGTCACCTTATCCATAGGGTGACAATGAGTTGGAATCAATTCCGCGGCAGTGGGTTTGGTCTTTTGGTTTGTGTGTGTGTGTGTGTGTGTGTGTGTGTGTGTGTGTGTTTGTGTGTGTGTTAAGAATATATGGCAACATATTAATAGAAAAAGTAAAATGAAAGGAAGGGATGTGGATCCTTACTGCAGGCTCAAGCCCACTTCACCACACCACTGAAATGAGCTTATGGGGGTGGTTGCCTGTTAAGGGAATTCAAACGCTGGGCTCTTGGCCTGCTTCTCACCAGGTTGTCTGGGTCTGAGAAAACCCGCGCAGGCCAGCAGGAAGGCCCAGGTGCGGGTCCCAGGTGAGGTGCACGAAGCCCCAGCAGGCGGCTGCTGGTGGCTGGCGCAGGGCACACTTACCACAGGGGAAGCGCCAAGCCGGGGCTGTTGACACTCTTGCTGTGCCATGCGCCTCACCCAGGAGTTATTTTAACCTCGTTTCATTTCTCTAGACGCTGAGCTGTGTTGCCTAGGAGGCAGGAAGCAGAGAGTAGTCTGCACTGCCTAAATGATTCACTGGCTCTCGGCCTCCCTAAGGGTCCAGCACCCACGCTGGGCGACTTCTCCATAATGGAGGTTACAAAGGGGTACAGCAAACCGCCCATGGGCTAGGCCCAGTCCTGGAGCCTCTCCTGCCTGCGCACCAGCCAGCACAGCAGGTGGAGGGCTCGGGGCTGCCCAGTGTCCGGCTGGTTGCTCCCTCCCGGACCTGGAACAGAAAGTGTTTGCTCTGCGCACCTGCACCTGGACTCTCCCTGGGTCCTTGGCCTGCTTTTCTATTTCAGACTTCAGGCTCCGCACTCCAGGCCTCTCTTCCAGGTTGGGTGGCAGGTCTGGGACCCCTCGGCGCTTCTGGCGGGCGACAGTGATCCAGGGTGGCATGGGCTGCCCGTCGGCTCCCACCCCTCTGGGAGACGGAGCTTTCTCTGTGGGTAAAAGCACAAGGTGGTGTCAACCAAGCCCCCTCTCCTCCTCTGGGCTCCCCTGGTGCTTTTCCCACACAGACAACAGTGGGCTAGGGACAGGGGAGGGCTGGGAGGGGAGGTCTAGGGGCCTCTCAGGGGAGAGGATTATTTTTCCTTAGCGGGCTTCGCTTTCTTATTTACAATGGCCCACAATTGCACCCAAGAGATCAGGTTCCCTGGGTCCAGGCCACGGAACTTGGAATGCAACGGAGCCTGTAAAAGCAATGCACGTTTTGAAAGCTAACTTCCTCCTAGGGGATCCTCTCTGGAATGCGATTGTCAGTACGCAGAGGAGAGGCAATCCTGTCACTGTGGACCAGCACACACTGGAACCTGACCCCTGGTTTGCGTGGAAATCCTATCCACGCGCCGTGGCCCCTCTCCTTTGAGAAGCTAGCAGCACAGCCTTCCCTTTGTGGACAGCCACCGCTGTTTCCCCTTGACGTTCCGGTGAGAAACCAGCACCTTGTGGTGAGGCACTCTTCCACACTCAGTGCACATCTTCGGGGGTGGTAAAATGGGGGGCGAGGGGGGGTGCATTCCCCCTCCCTCCTTTCACTGCTTCCCTGTGGCCTGGAGGAGCACATGTTTAAAATAAACACATCCAAGCTGGTTGCCATGGTTCCTGGAGCCCTCTGGGGTTGGGGGGGTCGGAGGAAGAACTGCGCTCTCCCTCAGTCATCTTTGGGTCCCTGGATGCCATTGGCACTTGCCTCGGGCAAGGGCTACGTTAACCACACACGAGCACCGACACACAAAGCTCCACACAAACAACTAGTGACGCTGTAAACTGGAGCAGGCTGCACCCTACAAGGAGCTATGTGCACCTGGGGTCAACCCTGTCAGGTGGGAGGTGGGACTCAGAAGCGGACAGACTTTCCAGTTGAGAGGAGGAGCTGGGAGAGCCCTCACTCAGGTGGAGGGTCCAGGAGGTGAAGCAGTGACCCAGCAGGCTGAGGGGCTGGGAGGTGGGGTGCTTCTGTCTTTTTCCCCATGATCGGGAGTCACTGGGGTCTCAACTGGTTACACGCTCGGCGACTGACCCAAAGGCTGGAGCTTTGAACCCATTCAGAAGCTGCTCAGAAGCCTGGCCTGGCGATCGGCTTCGGAGAGGTGGCAGCTTTGCAAAAGCCCAGGGAGAAGATCTACTGTGTCCATGTGGGGGAGCCATGAGTCAGAACAGCCTCGATGGCCGTTGGTTTGGCTCAGCTTGGGTGGTTTTAAACCATGGCCACACGCTGGCAGTCATGTGGTTATTTATTCTCCATATGTGGCGCGGCCTAGTGAGAGGTGACAAGGGGCTGACACCTGCTTCAGACTCAATCCCCTCAGTTTCCTCACCAAGCCCCACCAGATGCTACCTCCTCGTCCCCCAGGGCTCCCCAAAGTGGGTGAGACTGCCCCTTGGTGGGCCGTGAATGGGGGGAGGGCACTGCAAAGCAGATACCTACACTTTATCCCAGATGATGGGCATTGTACAGAAGTTTTTAATTCTAGGGGGATGCTGATTTATTTTTCCTGAAAAGGGCACACCGAGTCAAGTAAGTTTGGGAACCTATAAGTGGTGCTCCACCTTCCCAATGCCACGACCCTCTAATGCAGTACCTCAGGTTGGGGTGACCCCCCCCCCGGGGTGGCCCCCCCGGGTGACCTCCCCCACCATCACATTATTTTCATTGCAACTTCATCACTGTCATTTTGCTACTGTGATGAACCGGGCGACCCCTGTGAAAGGGTCACAAAGGAGTCGCGACCCACAGGTTGAGAACCCCTGCTTTAGATGGACATTCTCTCCCCCTCCTCATTCTTTGATCACCCTCTTGACGCATTCATGAACTTTATTTGGTACTCAATGTATTTGTTAACCAACCATCCACCCCCTACTGAGAATTTTTTTTTTTTTGGTCATAATAGCTTATTTATTTAACAAACATGTGCCGCTGACCACATACCAGGCCCGGTCCTAATATTACCTCCTTCATGATGTCATCTCCTGTTACATTTCTTGTCCACCGAGCCAAGCCATTGCCCGAGTCACAGAGGGTGCTGGATGGCCGCCCCGTTTCCCATCTCTCTCTGCTTCTCACCCTGCAATCTCAGTAAGTGTTCCACATAATTGCCTTGGTCTTTGTCTCTCTGGGGTTCTACTTTTTTTTCCCCTTTTCAAAAGATTCTATATTCCTTTGATCTTCACTCCACACGGAGTGGTGGCTGTGTCCTCTCTGCCCTGCCTGGCCCTAGAGGCTCGGGTGGCGCTGCGCACCCTCTCCGTTCCCTCTCCACTCCCAGCGTGTCTGGCCAGCCCCGGAGCACAGACAGTTCTCTGCATCTTTTGGCAAGAGGGGTTTTGCTGTGGGTTGAAACTCATTACCTCATTCAATAAAATACCCTGGATCATTCTGTCAAGACGAAGTATCTTTTGAGAGGAAATTTCCATCGTGCATTTGAAATCACAGGCAGAACGGTAGGCTATTAAATGCTAACTCTGGTCCAGCATCTGCAGCGTCCCCTGGCTGGCTTCCACCCACCTCATAGCTCTGTGTAGGGCACCCAATACCTGTGCCACTTTTTAACCCCGAGGAGGAAAACAAACAAACAAAAAAAACCCCACCAGATTTTGTTAATTAATTATACCACATACTGGGATTATCCTACTTGGGCTAACCAGAGTATTTTCAAAACCTATGGATAATAAATATAATGTGCAGCTACTCAGCTGTAGGATAAATAAAGTCCTGATACATGATACAAGCTGGGTCAACCCCGAAAACATTGGGTGGAGTGAAGTCAGTCATAAAAGGTCAAATATTCCAAAGTCCTGTTCATAGGAAATAGGCAAATCCATAGACACCCAATCTTAGTAGTGGTTACCAGGGGTGGGGGGAGGGGAAAGGGGAATTGTTGCTGGGGGGTGGGGCTCAGGACACCCAGTTTCTGCTACTGGTGGTGGAATGATCTGGAAGAGGGCAATGGTGGCAGCTGCACAGGCTGATAAACACCGTGAATGCCACAGGGCTGCACATGGAGAACAACTGTGGAGTTGACCAGAGTGTTGTTATGTGTCTATTTCTATGCCTCCCACACATGGAACAACAATGGATGGTGGAGGAGGTTAGACAGAGGAAGGGTCCAGGTAGCATTCCTGAGGACTGGAATGAGAGGAGACCTTGGAGGGGTGCTGGGGACTCAAAAATGGACCAAGGCCCGGGGGCGGGGGTTGGGCTCTGCAGACCACCCCAAGACTGAGATCCCTCCAGTTGGCTCGTGGAAACTGCGAAAACGGCGATTAGGTCTAGTTTGGTCAGAGACAGTTTCTCCTTCCTGTGAGAGCTGCCCGACTTGCCTGGGAGGTAGCCATGTCCCCAGCTGGTGTCCTTGGGGTGTGTCCAGGTGGTTGTGGTCGCGGGCAGACCCCCGAGAAGCGAGCACCCAAATGCTGGTGTGGGATAAGGCAACCGCTGTGGCTAGAGTCGCCAAGGGGTCACAGAACTATCTGGCTAATCATTTTCCTCTTTTCAGGTCCTGGCCACCACCCAGGGCAGTCTTCCCTTTTAGTATGCATTCCCTCCCTTCCCACCTGCTTCCTACCTGGAATGCAAGGAGCCTGAGGGGTCCTATACCTACCAGACTCATTCCTATCAGGGAGGCAGCCCGGAGTGGCCAGAGTGCACCTGGAGCTTCATGTGACCTATGGGGCATTGCAGGATGGGGTGATGAGCTGGAGACCCTTTCTCGCAATGCCCCGCCTCAGAAGAGCAGCCCGTCTCCGGGATGTGCAAGGCAAGCAGCAGGGCACAGGTGGCACTCTCTGCCCTGGGTCGGCCCAGAGCCATCTTCCATGTGTGGTCAGCACCCTCTCCACAGGCCACAGGGCAGGGCCGGTTCGGGAGGTCAGAGGCCCTCCAGAGCATGCACACTCAGCGTCCAGGATCACCAGAAAGTGGGTTTTGAGTTTCACAGGCTCAGATGGTGTTCATCCCAGGATGATGGAGAAGCAGCTGACTTTAAATAAAATGAGCCCAACATACTGTTTATGACTTTCTGCGTTTGATACACCACACCGGGCCGGCTTAATTCCCCAGGGGGTTAGGCAGAAGGGCTCTGACATCTCACTTTCTCCTCCCCAAATATCAGCAGGTTTCAGCCGTCACCGAATGCCTGGGCTTGCAAGCAACAGGCCACTGCCCTGTCTGTATCTGTCGCTTTCTGAGAGTCTTGGAAAGAAACCGACTCCCCTCCAGAGACAAATGCTCCACAGAAGAATGGCAGCCATCTCCTCTGATGTTTGCCACACGCAGGGTAAAAAAATTCCTGGCCTTTGATGTATGGCGCTTGTACAGCCACAAAGGTCACCCTGAATAATTCAGTATCACAGGCAAACAACTTTGGGTCAGAGAAAATGCTAGCATAAATATTTTCGTTCTTTAGGGATGCCATTGCTTCATAAGGAGGGGGGGGGGTGACGAATAGTTACTTTATCCTGTTCTTCCAAGCTCCTTCTTTCTCCCTAGAAGCCCTGGTGACACCGTGTGTTAAACACCTGGTTGCTTGGTGCAAGGTCAGCAGTTTGGACCCACCGCCTGTCCTGGGAGGGAACGCACAGGCTTTCTACTGCCATCACGGGTGAGTCTCGGAAACTCACAGGAGCAGTCCCGCTCTGCTGCCGGGCCGCCTTGGGTCGGCAGGAAGAGCAGTGGGTTGTCTGCTTCAGTGTAAGCCTTGCAGAGTTCTACTGTCCTCTAGTGCTGTGATGCGTCAGAAGCCACGGGACGGCAGTGGACTTCATGGGTGGGTCTTTCTCCTTAAGGCCCTTGGATGGTGCACTGTTAACCCCTTGCCTGCTCCCCCCAAAGGTCGACAGGTCAAACCCTTCTGCCACAGGAGAAAGGCCTGGCGAGTTGCTCCCAGAAAGATGAGTCAATGAGACGCCCATAGGGTGCTGAGCTCTACTCTCCAAACCG